GCCTTAGACGACTGGGCCACCTGTTATTGACCCGTTATGTCGATCACTGGATTGTCTGGCCCAAATTAGATTTTTGATAGATCGCCGTCCTATAGCCATATAGCTGGAATATTGCCGAGTGCGGCGTTAAACAACAACAACAACAACAACAATGATCCGTTACTTCTTTTGTTCAGTATACTGTTGAAATGGTCCCCTCTTATTGTGTCATATGAACTGTGACCATGCACCAGCTCAACCCGCGTGCTTTAATCAACAAACAAATGTGCTTATAATGTAAAATGAACTCACTCACTCCAAGAAAAAAAGCGTGCCTACGCATATTTTTGTTGTTGTTACACGTATATTAACTAAAGGAATTATACAATATGCTATCTAGTGCAGTTAATTACAGCTCCTATAGTAGCATATCGAACATGATCGTAGGTAGATATAGATAGATAATGATAATGTAGTAACAGCTGGTAAAAACCATGTTAATCCTTTTCTCTTTTAAACAAACCTTATTTGAATAATTATATCACAAATACACATTGGTTGGTTGGTTTGTTGTTTAACACCGCACTCAGCAATATTCCAGCTATATGACGGCCGTCTGTAAATAATCGAGTCTGGACCAGACAATCCAGTGATTGACAGCATGAGCATCAATCCACACAATTGGGATACATCCGTTCTTTTTCAGTTATTAAATGTTTGTCATGATTAAACAATTTATAAAACGGAAAGACAGTAAGATGACCACTCCCGCATTCATACAACGTACATTTGGATCTCGAATGTGTTGTCTGTGTACACTGATTCGGTCTCTTAGTTGCATACCTGTTTCTCCAAAATAATGCTCACCACATCCCGCAGATGTTAAAACATATATAACATCTTTACTGCGACAGTTCATGTTGTTTTTAACAGTAAATAGTAAATCTTTGCACAGTTGAAATTTGCAGTTCCACACCGAGGTGTGTGTTATATTCTGACGGTATTTGTAGTTTGTAAGTATTTGGATGGACAAAGAATTTTTTTGGAGATTTTGAGGCTGTCTAATGCTGCGTATAAGTTAACACTTAGATAAACATGCTTTCATAGTTTTACGTAAAATTAGAAGATTTGCTTTTATAAGGGGCATAATTTTACAGTTTCTAGGATTGTAGGTACACACAAATGTCCGTGTCTGTATGTGTTTCTTTTGTTTTCTTTAATGTTTCTCGTGGAATTTTCATTTCTTTATTTACAGCGTCTTTAATCACTCCTAATGAATATCCGAGTACTTGGAGACATGTCTTTAATTCTTCTTTTCTTAGGTTTCTTGTGTCCACATCTGAAGCATTAGTACACACATTTCTTGGCATCGAATATGGAATATTAATTTTAGTGTGCCGCGGATGACATATATTGAATTGTAGGTACTGATGCGTGTCCGTCGGCTGGCAGTAAATATCCGTTTTCAATTGGTCTCCTTGCTTAATAACTTTCACTTCCAATAATGAAATCTCATTGTGGTCACATTCCATAGTGAATGAAATCAGAGGTTGGATCGAATCCAGAATCTTCCCAAAATTGTGTAACTCTTTCACTGTTGAGAACCAAGTAATAAAACGGTCGTCGAGATATCTTCTCCATGTTTCACGAATATGTTTAGCTGTATTTACATCCATCAAATGCTCTACTTTGGAATATAACATTTCTTCTATGTATCCCATTACCAGGGTGGCATATGTGGGTGCTACTTTTTTCCATGGCTGTTCCGCCTATTTGCTGATATAACTTGTTGTTGAAATAGAACGTATTGTTCTCCGGTATACACTTCAAAGATTCCATGTTAAACTTATGCGTCAAATTGCAGTCAATGGCATCTGAACGCTGATTCAACCAATAAAGCACCGCTTCAAGTCCTCGATCATGGGGTATATTAGTATACAAACTTGTCACGTCAAAGGTCACTACAACAGCATCCGTTGGTATAACTATATCATCTGGAACAAAACTTGGAACTTTCTTCGTGAGATGTTTCAGAATTATATCTATTAAGTTTGCTCAAACGTTGATTTAGCCTATTGGGGCCTCAAACAATAGGCCTAAATGATAAGTCTTTGCATGGTTCAGGTGCCATTCAGCTGGAGGAAGTCTCTTGTTGCTCTCGCAGTGTGGGCACGGGCGTTATCATGCTGAAACTCGTGGTTGCAGCGACATGCCAAATGAGGTATGGCGTGTGGTCTCAAGACTTGATCAATGTACCGAGCTGCTGTGACACAATTGCCTCTCCCAGGACCGATGTTCTGGAAGACCACATGGCCGACCCTATGTGCAAGACCATTTCCACCCCACACCACAATGTTTGGACAACCACACGAGTCTCTCCCAACAACACAAGCATCCGAATAACGTTCCCCACGGCGTCTCCAGACTCTCTCTCTGCCATCTGCTGTTGAGATACAGTAACGGCTCTCGTCTGAGAAGAGGACTCTTCTCCACTGCTGGTGGCGCCATTGCTGGTGCTGTGTTGCCACTGAAGACGGTCCCGGCGATGACGTGGTGTCAGAATGGGTCCTCGGTGTGGCCTGTGACAGTGGAGGTGTCTGCTCGTCAATCGTCAACGCACGGTGTCCGCACTAATTTGTCGCTTGTATGTCCCCATGGTCTGTCGAGCAGTTTCCGCAGCAGTAACAAGCGATCTTGAAGATGCTGTCGCACAATCTGAAGATCCTGACGTCGGGTGGTGACCCTTGGTCTTCCACTACGTGGTCGGTCATCTGTAGTGTTGGTGGTCTGGTACCGTTGCTGGAGCCTTTATATGGTCCTTACGTGGACCTTAAATGCATTGGCTTCTTGCGGGCGGTTTGTCCAGCTTGCAATCGTCCAAGGACTTGGTTTCGCTGATTTCTTGTCGATCTTGGCATGTATTAGCAATTCAATAACGAATGAATGTAATCCGATCTGGGTGGATTTTATAGGGCAAGAAATGGGGGAACGCATGTGCATTTCAGTTTGCACGGAACTCTCGTGCCCAGGTTACCATGACCGTTGCCGTGATGCGTTTGGACGATCGGTTTTATTGTCATCTGCTTTGTTTTTTATCATCAAATTTCATTTTTCGGGAAATTTTAGAAACTTTGACAACAATTACCCAGATAATTATAATTAAATGACAACTCTTCATGCAATGGTACTTGGGGTGATGTTTCTTTTGCGGTTCAGTATATATATATATATATATATATATATATATATATGTGTGTGTGTGTGTGTGTGTGTGTGTGTGTGTGTGTGTGTGTGTGTGTGTGTGTGTGTGTGTGTGTGTGTGTGTGGTTACAGATGTGTATACACCAGTATACTGGTGACCAGAGGTGGGATCATACACCAGCATACACCAGTCATTTATTACACATACTATGATAAATTCAATGTCTATGTGGAGGGCTGTTCTACTTACGGAGTGACATTGTCCAACTTTGAAGCTACGGCCCCAGTGAACTGGCAACCCATACAGGCGTGTGTTGTACTGAATGAGTGAGTGGTTTACTATCTTTGATACATGGTGATAGATGTGGAATGGGGTTTAACGTCGCGTTTGAAATTGTTGCACTTTTATGTGGTTAATCCATGTGTCTGTGTGTGTGTCTGTGTGTGTGTGTGTTTTTTTTTGTGTGTGTGTGTGTCTGTGTGTGTGTGGTTGCGTAAGTGTACGTGTGTTATACATCAGAACTAATTAAATTATAGACACCAATAATTGAATATTGTTGTCGATACCGTGCAATTATGTTCTGATGATGGTAAACAAAAAGATAAAGTTGATGTCAGTGGGTTTAAATTGTCGTAAACTAAATATCAATCAAATCAATATTTGTGCACAGTTTTAAATGTAAAGATTTTATATATTAATGAGCGTGAAATACCACCATCAAAAATACTCTGTATTGTGATGGCTGATGATACACCGTTATACAAGTTGACAACCATGTAGTTACACCATGTGTTGAATAAACATTTGTTTAAGATGGCAAGCATCTAGGAGTATAAAGGAGGATGAAGGCATCCTTTCAACCTTAAGATATATGTGTCCCTCCTCCCGATGTTTACTAATTGTATAACCTGAAACAGGCCCAGGCAGGCTGTTTATTGATTAGTGCATCCAGTGCTGTCATTGAACTCTAACAGCACCGTTTTTGACCCTCGCATCTATCGACATGTATCTGAATGTATTGACTGGTTTTATACATATAATCTCTTTTTGCCTTTATACCTTCATCACGATTACAACTGGCGGTGGGTAGCCTAGTGGTTAAAGCGTTCGCTCGTCACGCCGAAGGTGCGAATCGCCACATGGGAACAGTACTAGTGTGTGAAGCCCATTCCTGGTGTCTGGTGATATTGCTGTAATATTGCTAAAAACGGCGTAAAACCACACTCACTCACAACTACAACCACGTATACTAGTTAATATCATTAGTATATGTCACCATTATAATAGTATTGATAGATATAATGACAATAATGATGATGCTAAAAATATATGTTGTCGTCGTCCTTGCTGTGTGTATCATTATTATTAGTGGAAGTGTATCATTGCTGTTATTGCCGTTGTTATCGTCCATCACAATGACGTCGTTACATAATGTTAGACCCATGAAGATCCGGGTTAGAATAGGTCTCAGCAACACATGGTTGCCGTAAAAAGCGACTATGCATGTCGTAAGAGGCGACAAACGGGATCGGGTGGTCAGGCTCGCTGACTTGGTTGATGCATGTCGTGGTATCCCAAATACGTGGATCGATGCTTATGATGCCAGTCCCTGGATTTTCTAGCCCGGACTCGATTATTTACAGACCGCCGTCTTATAGCTTGAATATTGCTGAGTGCGGCGTTAAAGAACAAAAAAAATAAAATAAAAACAAAACAAAATAATGTTACAGTTACAGTATGGAACAAACACTTGCTTTTTATAAGGAACTTTTACGTTTTCAGCTCGCGCCTTATTTAATATCATGTCTAATCTTTTCAGATTATTCTGTCAACGTAACGAGACAAGCTTCCTTATTTGCCAGCTCAACCAATCTGTCTACCGTGACGGGTGTCCGAGTACATGTGCCAGACGATCTCGGTCACCGCTGTAACACAATCGTCTAGAACGAACAGGAATTTGTGCACAATGTACGCGGGCGTGGAATGGAGAATGGGCGTTACCTGTATATTTATTTTATGAGGCTGTTGTGACTAAAATATACACAACATTTCATATAATCATCATTCCCACCGATGCGTAGATAGGCAAAGCTGTATGTCTCAGTCAGTTAAGTTTGAATACAGTTCAGAAAAAAACCTCCACTCAATTCAAATCCTCTTTTACCGTGTGTGGAAGTCAATGTGACGTGTTTGTTGTAGGAGTTAAGTCAAGTTGATACTTTCGTCAGATATCGACATCGCATGACTGAAAGAGTCATGTCTATCCCTTGTACTATTTCACGACAACAAACGACAAAGCAGGAATTGTCTCGCATTGACCTTTTCAGTTCAGCGCATACCCTCTCTTTAACCTTGAAACAGAGAGAACAGGATCGTCCACTCAGAAATAATTACCACTATGATTAAATGAATCATAGCTAATTATACACATTACGTATAACTATAACATGCTTCATTCTGAAGAAAACTAGTCATCTTCATACACACACTATCATCGACACGGATCAGTAAATACAAGTGTGTCGGCTTGTATGATGGATACTTCTCTACTAGTACAAGTTGTATCGGGTCGAGTCGTCCTGATATGACAACTAGTGAAAGGAAGTAAACGTTCACGACATCCTTTCAAGTTATATGTGTCCTTTTTATGTTTCTATATCATGAAACCAGAAACCAGAAACACAATGTGTCTATTGATTAATGTACCAAGCACTATCATTTGAATAGTACGGTTTTTACTTCTATCGATCTGATCTGAATGTATTGACCGGTTTTACATATATCCTGTGTTGCTATTCATACACACGTCAGAGAGAAAATACCAAGTCACTTGTGTACAGAGGCGTGTTTGTCCAGTGACAAACACGTTCAAACAAGTATGTTCCCTGTTGGATGGGACTCCCTCAAAACAAACCCATAGCTCCTTATCTGTCGGGTGACGTTGGCGGTGTGGGGAGCTATCCAGAAGAGCGCTGGGGATTAAAGGTTGCTCCACGACTGGGGGCAAGTTTCAACAGGAGCTTTCTTTGAAATAGTCACGGTGAATATACACATATGACCTACATAACAAGATGCGATAAGGGTGTTGTCAACAAAAATCTACCCGGGTCATGCCTTGTTATTTCATTGTTGGGTAGCTTGGCGACCCGGTTTAAATTGTCCGGTTTCTACCTCACAACTTGTCATCCGATACCACGGACCATAGGGACGGTATATCAGCTACCTAGTCGGAATTTAAGAGTGACATTTAAGTTTGACTATTTTGCAACACACATCCCCTTTCTTGACTGAGTGATGTTTTATGTCCAATGCTGTAAGGTGTGTTTTCAGGGTTTCAGAATTTTTTATTTTTTTTTCATAACCTTGACCCTGAGAGTAAGAGTACACCAACATACATGTTCCGCTCTTGTTCTCAGGAGCTGGGTGTGTCGCGTAAAATGGGTTAACATTCAAAGGAAACGTTAGAAAGCAACAATTAGTTTATAACTACAGATAACATTCGTACTGATAATTCATTTTCATTTTAAAATCGTTTCTTCTTGTATCCCTTCTGCGCTGTTGCAACACTATCAAATCACACATTTTATTTTAGCGGAAAATAGGGTGATATAATTTTGATACCAGCCCCGATGGTAAAGATATCAATGTTCCGATACTCGATAAGGAAATCTGAATTTACAACATGTTTAAAACACGTTTTCTTCTCTGAGAATTTGGTTTTGTCTAAAGAGTTTGACACTTGATAACCAGGAATTGTCAGTGATGTTCCGTTAGTGACTAGGAATTTCAGTTTAAACTCCTCATTCATCTTTATGCCATTGTACAAGGTAACCGTTGTAACACCTATCTAACATTTCAAAACAGCGAGTATCTATTCATTTATCACTGACACATATTGCAGAGCTTTGTAGTATTGTTACAGTATGGATGTCACGGGAGAAGCAAGCACCGTGTTCCGGAAATGCATGCAGCGACCTGAGCTTATACTTGTAAAACCACGCCCGGTATGCCGGGCCCGGCAGAACAGGTCCTCCGTACTCCACGTTATGGTCCCTGAACTCTACGTCTAGCTCCCTGTACTCTACGTCTAGCTACCTGTACTCCACGTTATGGTCCCTGTACTCTACGTCTGGCTCCCTGTACTCCACGTTTAGGTCCCTGTACTCCACGTTTAGCTCCCTGTACTCTACGTCTAGTTCCCTGTACTCTACGTCCAGCTCCCTGTACTCCACGTTATGGTCCCTGTACTCTACGTCTAGCTCCCTGTACTCCACGTTATGGTCCCTGTACTCCACGTCTAGCTCTCTGTACTCCACGTTATGGTCCCTGTACTCCACGTCTAGCTCTCTGTACTCCACGTCTAGCTCCCTGTACTCCACGTTATGGTCCCTGTACTAAATGTTTAGGTCCCTGTACTCCACGTTTAGCTCCCTGTACTCTACGTCTAGTTCCCTGTACTCTACGTCTAGCTCCCTGTACTCCACGTTATGGTCCCTGTACTCTACGTCTAGCTCCCTGTACTCCACGTTATGGTCCCTGTACTCCACGTCTAGCTCCCTGTACTCCACGTTATGGTCCCTGTACTAAATGTTTAGCTCCCTGTACTCCACGTTTAGGTACCTGTACTCTACGTCTAGCTCCCTGTACTCCACGAATAGGTCCCCTGTACTCCACGTTTAGGTCCCTTGTACTCCAAGTTTAGGTCCCTGTACTCCACGTTTAGGTCCCCTGTACTCCACGTTTAGGTCCCTTGTACTCCACGTTTAGGTCCCTTGTACTCCACGTTTAGGTCCCTGTACTCCACGAATAGGTCCCCTGTACTCCACGTTTAGGTCCCTGTACTCCACGTTTAGGTCCCTGTACTCCACGTTTAGGTCCCTGTACTCTACGTCTAGCTCCCTGTACTCCACGTTTAGGTCCCCTGTACTCAACGTTTAGGTCCCCTGTACTCCACGTAAAGGTCCTTGTACTCCACATCTAGCTTACTGCACTCAACATTTAGGCTCCCTGCACTCAACGTTTAGGCTCCCTGTACTCCACGTTTAGGTCCCCTGTACTCCACGTAAAGGTCCCCTGTACTCTGCGTCTAGCTCCCTGTACTCCACGTCTAGGTCCCCTGTACACCACGTTTAGGTCCCTTGTACTCCACGTTTAGGTCCCTTGTACTCCACGTTTAGGTCCCTGTACTCCACGAATAGGTCCCCTGTACTCCACGTTTAGGTCCCTGTACTCCACGTTTAGGTCCCTGTACTCCACGTTTAGGCCCCTGTACTCTACGTCTAGCTCCCTGTACTCCACGTTTAGGTCCCCTGTACTCAACGTTTAGGTCCCCTGTACTCCACGTAAAGGTCCTTGTACTCCACATCTAGCTTACTGCACTCAACATTTAGGCTCCCTGCACTCAACGTTTAGGCTCCCTGTACTCCACGTTTAGGTCCCCTGTACTCCACGTAAAGGTCCCCTGTACTCTGCGTCTAGCTCCCTGTACTCCACGTCTAGGTCCCCTGTACTCCACGTTTAGGTTACCTTGTTCTCCACTTTCAGGTCCCTTGTACTCAACGCCTAGCTCCCTGTACTCAACGTCTAGCTCCCTGTACTCAACGTGTAGGTCCCTGTACTCAACGTCTTGCTCCCTGTACTCAACGTGTAGGTCCCTGTACTCTACGTCTAGCTCCCTGTACTCGACGTTATGGTCCCTGTACTCTACGTCTAGCTCCCTGTACTCAACGTTTAGGTCCCTGTACTCTACGTCTAGCTCCCTGTACTCGACGTTATGGTCCCTGTACTCTACGTCTAGCTCCCTGTACTCTACGTTTAGGTCCCTGTACTCTACGTCTAGCTCCCTGTACTCGACGTTATGGTCCCTGTACTCTACGTCTAGCTCCCTGTACTCAACGTTTAGGTCCCTGTACTCAACGCCTAGCTCCCTGTACTCAACGTTTAGGTCCCTGTACTCTACGTCTAGCTCCCTGTACTCGACGTTATGGTCCCTGTACTCTACGTCTAGCTCCCTGTACTCGACGTTATGGTCCCTGTACTCAACGTGTAGGTCCCATGTACTCCACGTTTAGGTTCCTTACACTTTACGTCTAGGCCCCAAATACTCCACGTTTAGGTCCCCTGTACTCAACGTTTAGGTCCCTTGTACTCTACGTCTAGCTCCCTGTACTCCACGTTTAGGTCCCTGTACTCCACGTTTAGGTCCCCTGTACTCCACGTTTAGGTCCCTTGTACTCCACGTTTAGGTCCCCTGTACTCCACGTTTAGGTCCCTGTACTCCACGTTTAGATCCCTGTACTCCACATTTAGGTCCCCTGTACTCCATGTTTAGGTCCCCTGTACTCCACGTTTAGATCCCTTGTACTCCACGTTTAGGTCCCCTGTACTCCACGTTTAGGTCCCCTGTACTCCACGTTTAGATCCCTTGTACTCAACGTTTAGCTCCCTGTACTCCACGTTTAGGTCCCCTGTACTCCACGTTTAGATCCCTTGTACTTTACGTCTAGCTCCCTGTACTCCACGTTTAGGTCCCATGTACACCACGTTTAGGCCCCTTGTACTCCACGTTTAGGTTCCTTACACTTTACGTCTAGCTCCCTGTACTCCACGTTTAGGTCCCTGTACTCCACGTTTAGGTCCCTTGTACTCCACGTTTAGGTTCCTTACACTTTACGTCTAGGCCCCAAATACTCCACGTTTAGTCTCCTGTACTCAAAGTTTAGGTCCCCTGTACTTTACGTCTAGCTCCCTGTACTCCACGTTTAGGTCCTTGTACTCCACGTTTAGGTCCCTGCACTCCACGTTTAGGTCCTTTGTACTCTACGTTTAAGCCCCCTGCACTCCACGTTTAGGTCCCTGCACTCCACGTTTAGGTCCCTGCACTCCACGTTTAGGTCCCTGTACTCCACGTTTAGGTCCCTGTACTCCACGTTTAGGTCCCTTGTACTCCACGTTTAGGTCCCTTGTACTCTACGTTTAGGTCCCTTGTACTCTACGTTTAGGTCCCTTGTACTCCAGGTTTAGGTCCCTTGTACTCTACGTTTAGGTCCCTTGTACTCT